ATCAATGATGAGAGAGTCATTGATCGGCTGCCTCCTGCACACTCCCGACCGGAGATCGAGCCCGCAACCCAGGCATGTGCCCTGACCGGGAATCAAACCCTGGTCGCCTGGATCCTAGGTCGATGCTCAACTGCTGAGCCACGCCGGGCCAAGCGAAATAAGTATTTTTAAATGTTAGTCTTACTAAGAAACAGACCCAAGTATCTTGATAATAGAATAGCAGTCTTGACAAACTGGAGCCAAAGATATAAAAGTTGAAGGAAAGAGAGACACCAGGGGAAAAGCATTACCTGGGATGGGTTAAGATGAGAAGCCAGGGAGATGCTTCGAGCTTCAGAACTTCTGGATGGGGGAACACTCGATAGATCAGTGTTAACATAGGAAACGTGTCCATGGGGAGATTTAGTCTCAGCTACTTTCAATTTTTCTTTCTGTTTTCTTCTTCCTATGTCAAAAGAAAACACAATATTATTAAGAAACATGTTATCTAATATTAAAATTCACTGTTCAAAGAAAATATTTGTTCTTGAGTTGCCGTGAGTCTTCTATGTTCTCTGAACCTTGCTAGAGAGAGCAGAAACCCCACAGAGCAATTGGCTGACATGACACTTCTCCATGTGAACATAATGAAAAGCTTATCATTTCAGTACTAGGCAGGAAAATAGAGATTATATACTAAAGCAAGAAAGAGTCTCAGTATTTTATAATATCAGAACTAATCCCTTTGGTTGGAAAAATATTTAAATTAGCATGATTTTACACTACTGCACAAATTGATTGCATAACACCAGGCCACCACTAGTATTTCTATGATTTGCTTCTGCTCAATTTCAAGTAGTTCAAAAATCATTTTATAAGGTTAAATGAAGTGAATATTAAATGGTCTATGTTTACATTTTACTTTACAAAATAATGTCATAAACAATTAAAAACCAATATCCCATTATTACAGATTAGCTAAGGTTTTTGTTGTTTTTTTACCATAAAACATTGTTGAGAAATATGATCTCTAGCTCTTTGCTTGTGTATTTCCATGAGTTTTTATCCAGAGTACATACATACTATTTTTACAACTCAAAAAGAATAATGTCCCTTTTGAAGTGATTAAAGATCACTCGTGAATAAAGGCAGAAAACCCACTTCCCTTTCAATCCCAGTCATGTCCTAGGTATGGCCAGGCCAGGGTTGGGGCCCAACACTGACAAACGGGGCTTTTTATCTCTTCATTAGACTAAGTTCTACAAAATCAGTACCTGTGAGTGTAATTTCCCAGTGCTTTCTGATCAGCTCTTCCAATATTTCCACCACGTTTGTCCAGACGTGATCGAACACTTCTGCAGCCACGGCGTCTTTGATACAGTCATGAGGGGAAACGGGAGGAAGTCCATGTTTGCGCCGTGTCCTACAGTGGTGAGCTGATTTTTGTTCAAGATAGTCGTCATCACTAAGGACAAAACCCATTCTAATTACTAGAAGAATCAATGGTTAAAGGTAAATAATGTTACCTATCTATCTAACATGCATGTGTAGATATGTATTATATACATATACATAAACGTTCTTCTTTAAACAACATATTGTTATTTTTTTAATGTACCAATTTTCCATCACAAGGCAAATTTTTATTGCATAGTATCTGCAGTTTTTGTTTAAGAACCAAGTATGCATTTAGTGCAGAGACTGGACCGTCCCCTCTGCCCTCTGGGCAGCCAGGTATAGGGTACCAGGAGTTCCTGGGCACCGAGTCTACTGATAGCCTGTCCAAGTTCACCATGACGCTAAACACAATTCTTGTTTTCTGTCTGAGCCACATTGTCAAAAAAGGGAAGCACGCCTCTAGCACATACACTTCCTGCTGGGAACCTGAAAACTTTTGAGAGCACATGACTCTCCAAAGAATGGAAAATCTTTTAGATATGTGAAATACACACAAAGCACTAAATGAGCACGTAATCAAAATAAATAGCAAGTAAGGTAATATCATTAAACGATTAAGTCAATGTCAAATAAAATTCTATTCACTCTGCTTTTCTGTCGAAAGCTAAATACTCTTCAATCTTTCCATCCAAGTCATAGACCTCTTCTTGCAAGGAGGAACATGCCGTTAGGTCAACCACCTCTGTGCAGCCCGGACCTGGCAAGGCGGGGGCCGCAAGTGCTGCTGGGAGTATCTGAGAGCCGGAGATGCACAACCTACGGGCAAAGGAGATTCTCCATGGGAGTTTGTAGAACATCAAGAATACAATGTGTGTATGATTATGGTAGGTCTTTACATTCTCCATAAAGCACAGAATCCCAAATTTAAAAGTGACTAAATATTACATTTAGAAAAGGTCATATTTTAGAAGCAACATTTTTAACACAGGCATCATTAAACATTTTAAGGGCTTCTTGAGAGCCTAAATTATTCTGAGTTTGTATCTTCTTTGCTACAATGAAGGATGTCATGGCACCATCCTAAATATGTGTGGCTGGCACAAAAGCATTTATCAAAATCTGTTAGTGAGCAAAAGAAAATGGATGGAGCTTTATTTCTGCTGCTACTGTCCTAGGGTTTAGGAACCACTGGTTTTGATTTTGCATCTAGCTCACCTTTCAGAGATCATTTTAAACAAAAGTTGAAAAGTTAACTCCCTTGGTAGCTGTATTACACACACACACACACACACACAAAGTCATCATCAACATCATCATCATTATCAATTTAGAATCAGAAGCATCTTGTGAAAATAATGCCCTTCACAGAAATCTAAGCTTTCAGAGAGGTGGAGCCGAGGCTCACGGCTGAGACGGGCATGAAAAAGTACAACTCAAATGCAATTTAAAATACTTTTTTGAAGCAGCTTGGGGCACCTACTGTCTGACGTCGCTGCCGCGTTCACAGGCATCCGCAAAGGGCTCGTGAACCGCAGCGCGGGGCTTGCTGCCCTGGAAGTGCCGGACCCCGTCGTCAGTGGGCAGGAGGATCTGTCTTCCTAACACCCTGCGAGGTTTAGAAAAAGAGAAAACTACTAATGTTTTTTATTGGAAAAGGAAAAATCGTTTTGCAATTTTAAAAGCCACATAAGAGACTATTTCGAAGGAACGTATATGAAGCGATTAGGTACATCCTGGTGCACGAGCAGCATGGTGGCCTCACAGGAAAACCCCGGGCTTCAGGGCAGGGCCAGGCCCTTCCTGCCACTGACCAAGAGGCGGGAGGCAACGTTCTCAGGCTCTCTGAGCCACGGGTCTCATCTGCTTGATTGCGCAGGCAGGACAGAGTAATAGTCACCTAGGCAATGTCTACCAGGTCCTACGGTCAGGGCAACGGCTTTCAAACTTCTCCATCTCACAGCACACAGAAGCTAACTGCTAAAATTCTGCAGCACACCAAAAAATATATTTTTTTGCCGCGCGAATTTTTAAAACATGCCAGACTTGACTATTTAGTCAGGGGCACTGACCTCTGTTCCCTGAGGTTGTCAAATGGAAGATATGACAATGGCCAACACAACAACAGCCATCGGTGGGAATGAGTCAAAATTATACTTATTTTTATTGTCAGATCAGGAAAAAAAATAACATTTCTTGGTGTGCTCAAGAATTTTAGTCATTCGTTTATGTGTGCCCTGAGATGAAAAAGGCTGAAAATCGCCGACCCAGGGTAGCGCCAAGCACACAGACATTCTCTATAAATGTTAACTAATATCTGCATAATGAATAGAAATACAGAAATATGTAGGCTTGGCTTCTGTTCCCTGCGATCTTTCCTTTCTCCATCCCTCCTTCCTTCGTTTTTTTATCTTAACTATGTGACTGAACAGTGACAGGTCTGAGCTCCTGACATTTCGGCAGGTTCACCAGGCCTAGCAAAGTAAGCGCCCACAACTAATATCTAGTGGACATATATTCGGTAAGGTTTATAGACGACTAAAAAGAAAAGGTAAAAACCTACTTAGTCAAGATTTTTTTAAAGATACTCAGTCAAGGTCACCAGAAGATCCACCGACTCCTGTATGAGTATCTCATTTACCTCCCCAGACATAACACAGAACAACTCTGGATAACCTGTGTGGATCTTCCCCCTAAGTAGGTGGGCTGAGCAATTGAAAGAAGAGTTTCCCTTTATATCCAATCTATATTCTGCATCTTTCATATTAAAAAACAACAACTGATCCTTCCTTCATAAGGAATCTTGGTGCAGTGCTAAGGTTCATCTATCCAATCATTCAGCAAATAAGAAATGCTCTGCCCCTCCCCGCCCCCACCCTGTGCCCTGCTCTCAGCCCTGAGGACACACGCACGCTTTGCTCACATAGTAGTGAACTTGAAGGTAAAGGGCGACTCCTACCATTCTTGCATTTGTTATGGATGGAACACCTTTCTGAGGATGGGCTAAATGTGCTTCTCACAGATCAAAATGCACTTGAGCATTGGGGTGTCTCAGTACTTCCCCAGATGCCATTCCAAAGGATGCAATTTCTCAGTAAAGGGCACGTGTCTGGATACATATTTTGACGGTGCAAGTGTTAAAAACATATTCGTTGTTTTAGTAGGGAGTGGGAAGTTCCCAAATCCATTCTGCGAACGACCTCCCTACCTCAGGTGGACGGAACGTCTTGCCCACTCGCTGCATTCTGCCATTAGGTTCTGGGTCTGAGGGCTCACTTTCCCTTCGAACAACATCTCCTCGACCTCCCGGAATAACTGCTGTACTTTCTGCGCACTGGTTTTGTCAAACTCCTAAAAGAGAAAAGCGCATTTAACTACAAGACTAAAAGCTGTAGAAGTATCGGCTTCAGGGTCAACAATGCTGACATATTTAAAGCACCATTATGACTAGACAGAAATAGTGGACTTCGTGGTCAGACACACCAGGGTTGCAATTCTTACTCTTCGGATAAATTGCATCCCACTCTGAGCCTCAGTTTCTTTAACTGGTAAGTAGAGATCATCTACCACATGAATTATGAGGAATATTTGAGATTTTACATAGATTTAGCTATAGGTACACATATTGACACAGACTTTGATATACTTAGACATATACACACCCATATATCTATGCACATACATATAGGTATGTTTACGCAGATATGTGTCCCTCATATAGTTGGGTGAGACACACCTAAGCATATCTGCAAAATTCAAACCATTTTTTCTCTGATGATACCACTGAAAAGGAAAATTGCTTTTATAGAAAGGGTCATTCACATTCTTTCAATCAATGAAAAAAATCCTGGGGCATGGTTATTAAAGTGAGGCCAGAGTGTTAATTTTTTCTGCCCGACCTAAAGAGGTTCTTGGACTGTGGCTGCAGTGAAATGTCGATAAGAAAACCTTTCAGCCTCCCTGTGTGATCTCAGTGGTTGGGAGGCAACAGTCCTACAGCCCTCAGAACCAATGAAGAGAATGTGAGCATTATTACCACAATTGAGAGAACCAACACTGAACAGGCAGCCTCCGAGGCAAAAGCCTGGTTATCTTTTCTTCCAGAGGTGGATGAACCCAAAATCTGATCCACGCCTCAGAGCCACAAACTGCATATTCAGTCTGACATACCTGTTCCCAATGGTAAACTCAGGTTGATTTTCATAGAATACTATTCAATATTTTCTGTGTGACGTCTTCCCTCCAACTGATAATAAACTAGATTCCCAGGTAGCAGGGGAGTTAAATTCTCTTTTAAAATGCAAATAAAGAGAAAACCAATAATAATATAGGCCTCTCAGGAAGGGACTGGGTGGTTGAGGCCTGGAAGAGGGCTTACGTTCAATTTTACCTCTTTTGTATTTGGTTGCTTTTGCAAATATTACCAATCAAAAAGTAGATAAAAGTGTTTAAAAGCAACCGCAGGTCCTGGAGTAATATAAATTCTCTACATGAAAGTCACAAGAATCTCTCTGGATAATGACATGAAAATGTATACTAAAAGAATCCCAGAAACTGAAAAGCATGAAGCTATGACTCTCAGTCCTCTCCCAGCCCGTGTACTCCTGAGCCAAGAGTGTGAGCGGGGGAGGCAGGCAGTGGGCGTGGGGTGGGGGTATTTATCAGAAGTGAGAGTCACATCTTATTTGAAGAAGTTCCCAGTGATTCAGAGCTGACTCCTTCAGCGTCCCTGCCGTGCTTGGAGAATCACGGCTGCGAGATGTAAGACCGCAGGAGGAAGAGGGCAAATGGAGAACTGCTTTTAAAGGAAACAAAAAAACAGACCGTAAGCAAAAAGCAGGAGACAGTACATCCGAGGTGCTGTCCTGGAGGCTCTTCCCAGCCACGAGGGCTTCACAAAAGGCTCTGGAGGATTCTCAGGGGCACTTGAGGAGCTCCAGAGGCAGGAGACTGTGAAACAGGCCGAGCACCCAACAGAAGCCTGAGTTGTAAGCTAAAAGATCGCCCGGCTAAAAATCCCACTCCCAAAAAGAACAAAAATAGGGTTCAAGTTAATAGTTTCCACAAGAGTTAGAAGGTGAAAGTAAAATATCTGACTTAGAAATTCTCTAATCATGGTGATTTCTTAGTTTTTATTTCTCCCAAATGTTCCTCTGGAGTTCCTACTGTCAGGTCTGTCCTGAATTTCCAGCCCCAGGTCTCATACAAGAAATTAAATGTAACACACTGGGGGGAGGGGGGGAAGTAGAAAAAACAAAACTATCAACAGCTAAGACTCTTGAATTATGGGAATATGAGCGATTTTTGTTTTTCCTTATATTTTCTTTAAGTTTTTACATGTTACATGTAAATGATTTTATGTGTATGGTCATGTATGTGTGTAATAGGTAGTGCTTTTAAAATTGGTAAAAATATTTTTTTTTAAATAAGAAAGCATCCCTGGCCAGTGTGGCTCAGTTGGTTGAGCTTTGTCCTATGCACCCAGAGATCACTGATTCAATTCCCAGTCAGGGAACATGACTGGGTTTTGGGGTTCATCCTAACTAGGGGGTAAGCAGGAGCCAGCCAATGGATGGTTCTCTCTCATCAATGTTTCTCTCTCTCCCCTTCTCCTTTCCTCTCTCTCTCTCACATCAATAAAAACATTTAAAAAACAATAAGAAAGCAATTCTCCATTACACATTGTAAGCATAGGGTTATCCAAAGTATTCTGAGACATACATCATCTCTCCATGAGTAAATGGAGCTCCTTTCAGTAGACAAGCCAGTGGTCGAACTCTGCATCCCAGACCCGGACCAAGAGCTGCGGGCTTCTGTGGGTGTGGGGCTCCCACTAGATGACAACGACGACACAGACCCACTGCAGGAACAAACGCAGGCAACAGAAATAACATTTCTCAGGAAGAGGCTGGACTGCAAGGTGTCTTTACTTCTCTGACCCACTTCCTCTTTCTTTTTTTAAATGCATTTGCTCATTTCTCAGCACACTGAATTTTAAAATATTTATGCAATGTAACATATCACTGATTTTAGTTTTATCTGAAAATAAAACTGCTTTTTTACTTGTAGAAATTCATGGTGTCACCACTTTTGTTTCCCACATTCGTTACAGGCATGTTTTGGTTTTGTGATCAGAAGCGTTTAACAGGCTAATTCTTACCAGGCATATTTATCAATGGCTTTCTGCACATTTCTTGTAAAATGCGTAGGTAAAGGATCTTTGCTTTTCCCAGCAAAATTGTGTTTTCCAGATCTTTCTGACAGTCCCCTTCTGAAAAATAAAATAAAATATTAAAACTATCTCTAATGTAATAATATAATTTTATTCATTAGGGCTTTTAAATTTTTCTTTTGCATAAAGTTGCTCCCTCCTTTCTGCCATGTCCCCCTAGACCCACACGTGTGCATGCACACACTACATATCCTCAAGAAACTGAGGCCTAGGACCTTACCATTGTTATTTTCTTAGAAGGAAGGTAGTCATTAACCTACACATAGTTTAAACTGGATAGAAACCAACAACTTTTTGTAATTTAGCCAGACTACGTGAAGCGTCTACACAATGATTGCTAGATGTTATGTGCTAGACCAGCAATTTTCAACCGGTGTGCGGCAAGAATTCTTCAAACGTGCAATACCTGCCCGCTTTTCCCTTAGACTGTCAAATTAAAAAATAACAGCCTACACAACAATATCCATCCAGTGTGAATGAATAAAAATTATACTTTTTTTTTTGGTCAGATCAGCAAAAAGTGTATTTTTTTTATTGTGCTGCAGAATTTAGTAATGAGTTTATGTGCCATGAGATGAAAAGGGTTGAAAATCGCTGCTCTGGATACATCAGGTTGATCTTGCTCACTGCTATTATTATTAGCAAATGCCACCCTATAAAAACTCTGTTCTTGTTAACTTGCACTTCCCACAGCATTTCTTACTATATGTCATTTTGTTTATTTTATTTTTTAAAATTTAAAAAAAATTTCTATTACAGTTGACATTCAATATTATATTAGTTTCAGGTGTACAACATAGTAGTCAGACATTTACATACCTTAGGAAGTGACCCCGAAGTGATCCCCTCCCAGTAAGTCTAGTACCCAGCTAGCACCATACATAGTTATTACAATATTATTGACTATATTCTCTATGCTGTATTTTACATCTGTGAGCTTGCACTTCTTAATTCCTTCACCTTTTTCACCCAACCCCCCAACCCACCTCTCATCTGGCAACCATCAGTTTGTTCTCTGCATTTGTGAGTCTGTTTCTGTTTTGTTTGTTAGTTTATTTTGCTCTTTAGATTCCACATATAAGGGAAATCATATGGTATTTGTCTTTGTCTGACTTATTTCACTTAGCATAATACCCTCAAAGGCCATCTATGTTGTTGTAAATGGTAAGATTTCACTCTTTTTTATGGCCAAGTAATATTCCATTACTTGGAATGGAACGGAATACCTTTATCCACTCATCTACAGATGGGCACTTAAGTTGCTTACAGCTCTCTTTCAATACTTAGCTTTTTATTATGATGATCTTGACACTTTATTAGTTTTCTTTATCTGTAGCACCTAAATGTATGCCTGTCACATAGAGATGTTCTGTTAGTTGAAAAATATCAATACGTAGAGATTAAATTAGTGCCTCTAAAGAACATCCTTTTGCACTATAATTACTCTGAAAGTTCATGCTTAATTCAAAAGATTACACTGTGACCAGAACCAAAATGTTCTCCGAATTCAACACAATTCTGGAGATTCTTCTATCCTTTATAAAGAAAATGCACAGCTCTTACAGTAGCTGGAATCTCTGAAGATAGAGATTACAACTGGAGTCCAGGCTGCACTCATTTCACTCCTCTTGCTCTTAGCACCTCCTCTCCTTTTGTGCAACTTGAAAACGCATATTCGTCTGTTTGTTTCCAACAAAACAGTTTCTTCTTCCAGAAAATTCACCCTTTTTCTGAGG